TCCCTTCAACTTTGACATGTCAAAATGACAGCCCAGTTGTAATAAAAGCGATAAAAAAAAATGTCGCCGCAGAAAATAAACATATAGATTTGGAAGCAACTCTTTCAATGGTCCAAACTGTTTTTCTTCAGCGAGCTCCATCGTTTCATTGAAATCCTTCAATTTTTTTTTCTCATGACAGTCACCCGTACCAAATTTCCACTTCCACAATCCACAAATGACTTGTCAAATTCCTCTACAGACGACTGATTAAGAACATTATGTTATTAGATGTGATCATTTGGGGAGATAATATCCGGGGCCAATTATTGGGTGAAAAGGTTTGATGTTGAGAATGAGCACCTAATTGGATTTGTACCGTTGTTAATTCGGGGAAAATGACTTATTTCAGAATACACGCTGCAGATTAGATGGCATTAATAGGAAAAACAATGTTAATGTGGTCGGAGTAATTAATCGGATATAAAACTTTGCATCAATGGAAGCCACTCAAAAAATAAATAAATAAAATAGAAATATTTGGGGACAGAATATTGTGGCCTGCAAGGACCATCAGTTGTCTCCACACACGGGTTGGGAAAAAAATCATTAAAAGTATATATTTTCTTCAAATAAAAAAAATGACAAGAGATTTAATTTCCAATAAATTGTTTTAAAGTACCCGTGAACATAGAAAAAAAAAAAAAAATGACAAGACATTTAATTTCCAATAAATTGTTTTAAAGTACCCGAGAACATATAGCGCATAGGTGGAGTTTGACAGATACGCTACACTGCGCCTTCCCGTTTTCATTTCTCTCGCGACGTTTTATCGAAGCTAAAATTAGGCTCGTCGGCGACAGACTTTGTAAGGTCAGATGTCGGGGGACGATTTGTGGGTGGGGGCGCTCCAGCGCAAAAATGCCACGCATTGCTGATATTCACTGAACATGAATCGTACAAACGGTCGCAGTCTTTTGGAATTTGTCACGGAACTTTCACTGACCAACTTCATGAGTTTGCGCAAAGAGATCCCAGAAATTGGTCAAACTAAGAGTTGCTCAAGAGAGTTTTTCATTTTACTGATGTCCATTTTGAAACAATTTTTAAAAATCAAAGAAATACTGTCCGTTTCTATGGCATTGTTGGCAGCATATTCAACTTTGGCCGTGATCATAAAACGTTTCGCCACTTACCCGCCGACGGCAGAACGGCAAACCCTGAGCGATGATGTTGATACTAAATATTCGAAGGATTTTCTGAGGGGGCAAGGGGTTGGCGATAACGTCCTTCGGATCGGCCACGTCGAGGGTTTTGCTTTCTGGCGCAGCTTTGGTGGGAGTCCTGTCCTTGCCATTATTTACCGTCTTCCTACGGGCGCCGCCGGACGAGAAACGGGGGATCGGGCAATGCCGCAGCATTGCAAAAAGCATGGGGAAACAAAAAACTAATAAGTCATATTTCCAGGAAGAAGTCAGGAAACGCTTCAAATCGCTTGAACGAGCAGGACCAAGGCCTCGCTTCAGGCTCGTCCAAACTCCCCTGCTGACGGGCACCCCTTAAAAAGTGTCTGGCCTGTGATGTCACTGCCGAGCAGCTGCCGCCCGACGCATGGCCTCTCCCAACCCCACCCCCGCTGTAGTCGTAGTAGTCAAAAGATTACCATACGGTAGATAAATTAAACGTTGGCTAATCGGGACGAACATGGAAATAAAATCCAATGGCTAAATACCCCCCCCAGCACCCCATTTTTTTTTTAACATAAATTTATTTTTTTGCTGTGTATTTGTGATTTTTTTTGCCGTTTCACTTTAAATTCGTTGAGCAAAAAAATTGTTAAAAGCTTAAATTATTAAAAGTTCAATGGAAAATAGTGACAGTTTTTTTGGGGGGCGGGGGGCGCTCATCAAAGAGCAAATAAAGATTTTCTTTAAAAGTTATTTTATACAATTACAGCAGAGCTTTTTTTTAAAATTTATCTTTGCTTCTAGATGAGAAAACAAAGTTTTACTGCTATTGAATTCAACTTGATATATAAAGATAACCAAGCATTTATTATACATTACATTGTCATATTTTTATTGCGAAATAAAACCCTTGCTTCTGTTCTTTCGGATTAATCTTTGAAGTCATTGATTCACCTTGCCGTACAAAGTATTTTGTCAATGATTACTAAGAAATATGATATTTTTTCTGTGTTAATTGAAAATTTACGCATCTAAAATTCCCACGTTAATTTATGGCAAATTTTACACTCTTTTTGTCGCCCTAATAGTCGATCATCAGGGTGCTCTCAAATACCCCGAAACACAAAACAATCATGTTGGAAAGAATGCTACAAAAAAAAATAAATAAAAAGCTTACGCACAGGACAGAAAAAAAAAAAAAAAAAAAAAGCTTACGCACAGGATGGTACTTTATGGCAAATTGTTGCCTGTGCGATCACAACAATCGGGGTGACGACAAATGTCAGACAACTTCCCATGTGTGCGTCGAACCTCTCTTCTACTCTCATTGTTTGAGGAGGATTAGCGTGTGAAAACATCTATCGGAGCCGACCGACCATCCGGGCCCGACAGATGAGCTCGTGCTATTCGACGCCCGCGTGGCTCAACTCCCACCCTGTATTTGTAAAAATGTGCTCTGCGCAATTGTTGGACAATGGCGTCTTACTGGCAGCTGTTCAATCGGCAGAAGCTGACTGTGTGCAAACTACGTATTCGAATTGTCCAACAACATGAGTGCAAATAAAAACGCCTCAAACTGCAAGTTTGTAGAAAAAAATGGCAGTTATGTTGAATCATTAAAACGTCTCCACACTCCTGCTGAAATTCCAGGATCACGACAGTTTTCCCCCACTCCATAATTTCAAAAATTTATGGGTACTTCAAGTGTGGAAAAAAGTCGAACAATGCAAGGTATTGCCGTGGTGGACAATGAATTGATTGGAAAAAAAAACATAATTGCAGACGATAACATTTGTCGAAGTCATTTAAAAAAGGGATTTAGTAACCAAAAAATGCTGCAATATCTGAAGACTTTTTAAAATTTTATTTTTACAAGTGAAAATTTGAAATGTTGGGAGATTTGAGCAAGAACCATTGCAGTTGATGCAAAACATTTTGCTGTCACGGGCCACATAAAATGATGTGACAGGTCGGATCTGGCCCCCGGGCCTGAGTTTGACACCTGTTGCCTCCGAGGGTGAGCCAGACGTGCCAACCACCACGGTGTTGTGCTGTCACCATTGCTGTTCCCCCCCCCCACCACCCCCAGACCATTCAAAGTGATACCACTGAACTGATGTTGCAGAAAAGAATTCAAACTATTTATTTTGGAGTTCGTTGCAGAAAATCTTTCTTGGTTGATTCACTGCAACCGTGAAATCTGTTCACGTTTTGCTATTTGTTCCTCTGACCGTAGACATGATCAACCCAACCAACGTAGCGAACCCTGATTCTCGCTTTGATAATTTGCATTTTGTAAAACATATAGCAGTAGCTCATGAACACAAACGGCGTCCTCATAATGGACTTGCCTCAGCCTATTAATTCAATCTGAATGGTGATAATGCTGTTTTAGCATGTCCTGAATATTATAACCTACTAAATAGGCAACCTAATGCAAAGCAAGATGCTTTACTGCAGGCGCAGCTCATCATTTGCTCCAGCAAATAGTGCAATTCCTCCCTGCTCGCTCTTTTATGGCCTTCGAATAAGCCCTGCGCAGGGAAAAAAAGAAAAAAAGTGTCTCTACCTCAGCCAAACGCTGAAGCACCGGAGGCATAACTCTTGGAAAATATCCGCATGAATGGCACGTCTAATAGCCGCTGCGGTGTGCCTGACCCGACCGAGACAGGCAGCACTCAACATAGGCCGTACAAGCAGCAGGTTTACATTACAGTACAGTCTGAGCAAGGATGGATTCTTCGAATAAATTGGAGAAATGCTGCCCTCTGGTGGAGAGGAGTGGCATCAACCGCCATCCTTGGAAAAAAATGGCAGACTGTCTTAAATTAAAAAATAAAAATCAACAAAATTGAATCAGATTTTCAAATGTAGACCGTAAAACTTTAGTCAAGTCTATCACAAGTATGAGCCGAGTATGTCCCAAGTCCTAAAACTGTGAACAGATTACGAGTCTCCTTCCTCTGCTGTAGTAATTAGTGCTGCCTTGACTTAAGAATGCCCCAACGTACACGTTTTGACTCACATGCCGCCACTTGGACGTAACAAACATTTTGGCCGAGTGTGAGGGTGAGGTGCTGGTCCGCCCCACTAGATGGAGACAAAAAACTTCACAACATTCGGGCCACGTTCAGTTCAGAGGTTACCTCACAATTTAAGGTGTGCAGGTTTTGTTTTTGTTTTTTTTGTGCTCCTATTTTTTTGACAATCATTTCTTTGAAAGCAAATGGTGAGAAGAATCGGACGACGTCCATTGAATGTAAGCTTGAAACATGCCAGCGGGGTGTGCGTGTGGTCGACTTGGCATGGAAGTACGACTGTAGTACTTCTACGAATATACACAATACCGTTTCTTGAATCATATCGCACCCCGTGTGTCACGCTCGACACTTATAGAATCATCTTTTCTTTTTTTTGGCGAGATGCACAGTCCTTAGCGAAAACGCTAACCAAGGGCTGCAGATCACCGTCAATGAAAAGATGGAAAAGTTGCTGAAAGTGAGGAAAAGGATGGCAAAAAGGCAAAACAGTGCGAAGAACAAGAGGTATGCTTTTAGACAGCATAATGCTGTCAAGTTATATTTCTTATTGAAACACATTAGGAGGAAAAAATGTTGGTAGAAAAGATGAATTATTATTAATTTCAATGTGCAAAGTCTATTCGGAAATCAAAGTTCCGCTTTATGAGCATGGAGAATGTTTTTTGAGCCCATCGAAAGTGACAGCTGCAATAACGGACTGTGGTCGAAAGAGGGCGCCAAAAAACAAAACAAAGCAGCAGCTGGGGTGGGCTGATGACAACCCTTCCAAGGACAAGTGAAGAATAACGCTTACCTTCTTGTTGGAGGAGCTTTGGTGTGAGTCCACATTGTTGCTGGCGACCGTCGCATTGTTCCTGATGGAGGGAGACATCAGCCCCTCTTCTGCTTCCTCATCCTCCTCTTCCTCCTCCTCTTCCCGCCCGCTTTCCGCCGAGGGCTCAAAGTCGTCGCTGTCTTGGTCCATCTCCTCCTCATCGTCCTCTTCCTCGTCCCTCGTCCTCCTCTGCTCCTGCCCTCCCTCTGTCCTCTCCTCTTCCTCCTCTTCCTGGTGACTGCTGCTGTTGTTGTGGTTGTTGTTCTCTTCCTCTTCCTCCTCCTCCTCCTCCTCGTCCTCCTCCTCGTCCTCCTGAGTCCGCTGCCTCTGCTCGGCCCTCCACGTCCAGCGGGGACCTTTCTCGCATCGGTTCACCTTGCTGGGGGGCCCTTCCTCGTCTCCCCCGTTTTCCCCGGGGGGGCCGTTGCTCGGCGCAGGCTCGTCGGGTGCCCATGTCGATCCTCTGTCCGCGTCCACTTGCGAGGTCTCGGGCTGCAGAGTTGGACAAAGCAATAACATTTGAGCCGAGTGCACAACTGGTCACACGCAAGTTTCCCATGGTGGCACAAAACAAGGGAAGTTTAATACGATAAAAAAAAAAAAATAATAAAAAAACTGCAGAAGAATTGCTCCCTCAAACAACGCAAAGCTGTCCGGAACAATTTCACACGGTATCTCGAGCATCTGGTTAGGATGCCTCCTGGACACCCTCTTGGGTGAGGTGTCCCGAGGACGACCCAGGACACGCTGGAGAGACTATGTCTCTTGGCCGGCTTGAGAAGGAGTTGGACGAAGTGGCTAAGGAGAATGAACTCTGGGCTCCCCCTTGCGACCCGATCCCGGATAAGCGGCGGAGAATGGATGGATTGATGGATTATTGTGTCATGTATGCAATAGCACGCCCAGCCCGCATGGGCTTTAAGACGCTACACTAGCCGTAGGCACCGGCCGAAATATCATTGTCTAATTGTCCGTGTTGTCCTTGGGGCTAACAAGTACCCATGGGCACCATTTTTAGTATAACGCACATTAACCAACAGAGCCAAAATGCACCCTTGTTTGCATTGTCGCTTGCTCCGTCCCTCCTCCTCCTCATAATGTAACTGCTCGCCCCTTGCCTCTCGAGAAGGAGGGGAAAAAAAAAATGTGACTCATTTCCAATTAAGCTCCTGCTCATTACCGGTGAGACTGTATAAGCGGTTCTTGACTTTTTCAAACCACCGTCAATCGGCACACCATGCCTAGTTTGCGGTAGCATTAGAGTACAACTTTGTGCAGTTTGACAAGAAGTGGCGAGTGAAGATGTAGACTGCAACATTAGCCGCTATGTAGCCACCAAGTGGCTGTCTGCTTTATGCTCGTCACTTGTGATGCTAAAGTAGAGGCTTGTGTGTGGGTGTGCATCTGTGTGTGATGTGTTAATCAATATTTGTAACAGTCGACTTCTTTTTCCATTTAAATGACTTGGAATGAAAAACTGTTGTCATCGTCACCTGTTGCCGTGGCCGCTCCTCGTCCTCGAGCACCCGGTTCATGTGCTCATCCTCGTCAGCCTCCTCTGACGGCTGCTGGGGTGCCTGGGCGGCGGAGGAGGAGGCGTTACCTCTCGCCGCCGGACCCCCGGAGCCCCGACTCCGTCTGCTGCTGCTGCCCCCCGACAGCAGATCCTGGTTCATTTCCAAAAGCCAGCTTGCTACCTCCTGCACCTTCGCTAAGCTGTCTGAGGAAGAGAAGGTCTTGACATGCTGCAAGAGAGACAAAACAGGCGAAAATATGGTCGGATCAATCATGTCACATGAAGATGGACGCACAATGTATGAGATCATTTTAAACTAAGAGAACTTCATTTTTAAGAAAAAGTCAGATGAAAAGAAGAGTAACTTTTTCAAGGGGGAAAAAAAAAATCAAACTACATCAGATTTTTTTTTTTAATAAACCTAAAACAAGTTCCAAAAATAAGCGGGAAACATCAAACGCATAAGGTCATATTTGCTCAGGGAATTAACGATTATTTTGCCAAAAGTTGTGTTGTTACATGAATGAACTGAGATTTTGTGACGTTACGATCAACCACGTCTCTTCAGACTGAGTATTTAGAGCAAAATATTTCAGACTGCGTTAAGATTTTACATCAATTATTTGAGTTTGCACCTTCTCAAAAAGCACTTTGTGACCTTATGGACGACAATCTTTCAAACCAAGGTACATACTGAACCGTCGTTTTTTGTGCCATGCCGTTACATTCCTAATAAACACACTTCAAAAGAGATAGAAAAGACATAATTCGGGTGTGAATTCACGTCATGCAGAAGCAGACAGTGTGTTCACGCAGCGTTGGAGGCTCTCTACTCACAGCAGATTGGCGGAGTCACCTTGAGCAACAGCAGGCTTCCAACATCTACTAACGCCAACACACACGCGCACACACAAACAAACAAAAACAGAATAAACTCGTCTTCACATTTCTGGATGCTTTTGACCGAGGAGGGTGGGAAAGAAAAATATCCCTCGTCCTCCTCTGCTCCTGCCCTCCCTCTGTCCTCTCCTCTTCCTCCTCTTCCTGGTGACTGCTGCTGTTGTTGTGGTTGTTGTTCTCTTCCTCTTCCTCCTCCTCCTCCTCCTCGTCCTCCTCCTCGTCCTCCTGAGTCCGCTGCCTCTGCTCGGCCCTCCACGTCCAGCGGGGACCTTTCTCGCATCGGTTCACCTTGCTGGTGGGCCCTTCCTCGTCTCCCCCGTTTTCCCCGGGGGGGCCGTTGCTCGGCGCAGGCTCGTCGGGTGCCCATGTCGATCCTCTGTCCGCGTCCACTTGCGAGGTCTCGGGCTGCAGAGTTGGACAAAGCAATAACATTTGAGCCGAGTGCACAACTGGTCACACGCAAGTTTCCCATGGTGGCACAAAACAAGGGAAGTTTAATACGATAAAAAAAAAAAAATAATAAAAAAACTGCAGAAGAATTGCTCCCTCAAACAACGCAAAGCTGTCCGGAACAATTTCACACGGTATCTCGAGCATCTGGTTAGGATGCCTCCTGGACACCCTCCTGGGTGAGGTGTCCCGAGGACGACCCAGGACACGCTGGAGAGACTATGTCTCTTGGCCGGCTTGAGAAGGAGTTGGACGAAGTGGCTAAGGAGAATGAACTCTGGGCTCCCCCTTGCGACCCGATCCCGGATAAGCGGCGGAGAATGGATGGATTGATGGATTATTGTGTCATGTATGCAATAGCACGCCCAGCCCGCATGGGCTTTAAGACGCTACACTAGCCGTAGGCACCGGCCGAAATATCATTGTCTAATTGTCCGTGTTGTCCTTGGGGCTAACAAGTACCCATGGGCACCATTTTTAGTATAACGCACATTAACCAACAGAGCCAAAATGCACCCTTGTTTGCATTGTCGCTTGCTCCGTCCCTCCTCCTCCTCATAATGTAACTGCTCGCCCCTTGCCTCTCGAGAAGGAGGGGAAAAAAAAAATGTGACTCATTTCCAATTAAGCTCCTGCTCATTACCGGTGAGACTGTATAAGCGGTTCTTGACTTTTTCAAACCACCGTCAATCGGCACACCATGCCTAGTTTGCGGTAGCATTAGAGTACAACTTTGTGCAGTTGGACAAGAAGTGGCGAGTGAAGATGTAGACTGCAACATTAGCCGCTATGTAGCCACCAATTGGCTGTCTGTGAGGTGCTGGTCCGCCCCACTAGATGGAGCCAAAACACTTCTCAACATTCGGGCCACGTTCAGTTCAGAGGTTACCTCACAATTTAAGGTGTGCAGGTTTTGTTTTTGTTTTTTTTGTGCTCCTATTTTTTTGACAATCATTTCTTTGAAAGCAAATGGTGAGAAGAATCGGACGACGTCCATTGAATGTAAGCTTGAAACATGCCAGCGGGGTGTGCGTGTGGTCGACTTGGCATGGAAGTACGACTGTAGTACTTCTACGAATATACACAATACCGTTTCTTGAATCATATCGCACCCCGTGTGTCACGCTCGACACTTATAGAATCATCTTTTCTTTTTTTTGGCGAGATGCACAGTCCTTAGCGAAAACGCTAACCAAGGGCTGCAGATCACCGTCAATGAAAAGATGGAAAAGTTGCTGAAAGTGAGGAAAAGGATGGCAAAAAGGCAAAACAGTGCGAAGAACAAGAGGTATGCTTTTAGACAGCATAATGCTGTCAAGTTATATTTCTTATTGAAACACATTAGGAGGAAAAAATGTTGGTAGAAAAGATGAATTATTATTAATTTCAATGTGCAAAGTCTATTCGGAAATCAAAGTTCCGCTTTATGAGCATGGAGAATGTTTTTTGAGCCCATCGAAAGTGACAGCTGCAATAACGGACTGTGGTCGAAAGAGGGCGCCAAAAAACAAAACAAAGCAGCAGCTGGGGTGGGCTGATGACAACCCTTCCAAGGACAAGTGAAGAATAACGCTTACCTTCTTGTTGGAGGAGCTTTGGTGTGAGTCCACATTGTTGCTGGCGACCGTCGCATTGTTCCTGATGGAGGGAGACATCAGCCCCTCTTCTGCTTCCTCATCCTCCTCTTCCTCCTCCTCTTCCCGCCCGCTTTCCGCCGAGGGCTCAAAGTCGTCGCTGTCTTGGTCCATCTCCTCCTCATCGTCCTCTTCCTCGTCCCTCGTCCTCCTCTGCTCCTGCCCTCCCTCTGTCCTCTCCTCTTCCTCCTCTTCCTGGTGACTGCTGCTGTTGTTGTGGTTGTTGTTCTCTTCCTCTTTCTCCTCCTCCTCCTCCTCGTCCCTCTCCTCGCTCCTCCTCGTCCTCCTCCTCGTCCTCCTGAGTCCGCTGCCTCTGCTCGGCCCTCCACGTCCAGCGGGGACCTTTCTCGCATCGGTTCACCTTGCTGGGGGGCCCTTCCTCGTCTCCCCCGTTTTCCCCGGGGGGGCCGTTGCTCGGCGCAGGCTCGTCGGGTGCCCATGTCGATCCTCTGTCCGCGTCCACTTGCGAGGTCTCGGGCTGCAGAGTTGGACAAAGCAATAACATTTGAGCCGAGTGCACAACTGGTCACACGCAAGTTTCCCATGGTGGCACAAAACAAGGGAAGTTTAATACGATAAAAAAAAAAAAATAATAAAAAAACTGCAGAAGAATTGCTCCCTCAAACAACGCAAAGCTGTCCGGAACAATTTCACACGGTATCTCGAGCATCTGGTTAGGATGCCTCCTGGACACCCTCTTGGGTGAGGTGTCCCGAGGACGACCCAGGACACGCTGGAGAGACTATGTCTCTTGGCCGGCTTGAGAAGGAGTTGGACGAAGTGGCTAAGGAGAATGAACTCTGGGCTCCCCCTTGCGACCCGATCCCGGATAAGCGGCGGAGAATGGATGGATTGATGGATTATTGTGTCATGTATGCAATAGCACGCCCAGCCCGCATGGGCTTTAAGACGCTACACTAGCCGTAGGCACCGGCCGAAATATCATTGTCTAATTGTCCGTGTTGTCCTTGGGGCTAACAAGTACCTATGGGCACCATTTTTAGTATAACGCACATTAACCAACAGAGCCAAAATGCACCCTTGTTTGCATTGTCGCTTGCTCCGTCCCTCCTCCTCCTCATAATGTAACTGCTCGCCCCTTGCCTCTCGAGAAGGAGGGGAAAAAAAAAATGTGACTCATTTCCAATTAAGCTCCTGCTCATTACCGGTGAGACTGTATAAGCGGTTCTTGACTTTTTCAAACCACCGTCAATCAGCACACCATGCCTAGTTTGCGGTAGCATTAGAGTACAACTTTGTGCAGTTTGACAAGAAGTGGCGAGTGAAGATGTAGACTGCAACATTAGCCGCTATGTAGCCACCAATTGGCTGTCTGCTTTATGCTCATCACTTGTGATGCTAAAGTATAGGCTTGTGTGTGGGTGTGCGTCTGTGTGTGATGTGTTAATCAATATTTGTAACAGTCGACTTCTTTTTCCATTTAAATGACTTGGAATGAAAAACTGTTGTCATCGTCACCTGTTGCCGTGGCCGCTCCTCGTCCTCGAGCACCCGGTTCATGTGCTCATCCTCGTCAGCCTCCTCTGACGGCTGCTGGGGTGCCTGGGCGGCGGAGGAGGAGGCGTTACCTCTCGCCGCCGGACCCCCGGAGCCCCGACTCCGTCTGCTGCTGCTGCCCCCCGACAGCAGATCCTGGTTCATTTCCAAAAGCCAGCTTGCTACCTCCTGCACCTTCGCTAAGCTGTCTGAGGAAGAGAAGGTCTTGACATGCTGCAAGAGAGACAAAACAGGCGAAAATATGGTCGGATCAATCATGTCACATGAAGATGGACGCACAATGTATGAGATCATTTTATTTATTTTTTTCAATTCTTTTTTTATTGTGAATTCACAGGTCCATACAGTCAATGAAAGAACAAAGTATACAAGTCCTCTTAATACATCTGATCTTACATGAGATTGGCTCAGTTTGAAATAACCAAGACTGAGTAAACAAAACGTAACGTGTGAGGACCAATAAGAAGTATAACTATATGACCATTTTTAACTATAGTAAAGAAAAAACCAACAAGAAAACCCCAGACAGAGAGAGAGAGGGAAGAAAAAAAAAAAAAAAATGTTGGCTGTTAACTGGTTAACTGCGCCATCGGCAGGTCACATGGTAATGTAACATGTTTGAGAGCTGCTGCTGCTTCAGACAATTGACATTGTTCTCAAGGAGGGCATGCATAAATGTCTTCCTCCATTCGTCCCTCGGCTATTAAGGCGATTCAATTTTTTTTTATCATTACAAAATTGTCATTCCAGAATTAAAAAAAAAATTTTGCAAGAATTTGGATGATTAAACCAAGGAAGCTCTGACTGTGTTTGTTCAGACTAGATGTGGAGAATAACCACAACAGCAAAAAAAAAAAAAAACGGAGGCCAAACTGAAGAAGACTGACCTCCGGAATCTTCTCAAGTCATAAGACATGAGAAAATATTTCTGGGAAACATGCACACTTCTTTTTTTTTATCTGTTTCAGTAAGAATAGGCTTTCATTTGACTTTGAGGACAATGCCAGTCGTCTCTTTTTTGCACGCATGGTCTCAGCACTGCGGTGGGAAGCATTAGCCAGATCTCAGATTGCACGGCCGGCCCTCCCGGGATCACCGCTCCATGGCCTGCAGCGGGGAAAAAAAAAAAAAAAAGTGGGGTAAACTTCTCTAACTCGTTTCGCTTTCTATTACAGGAAATCCAATAGTGACCTAGATAACCCAGAGCAGAAGGAATGGGGGGGAGATCATTTTAAACTAAGAGAACTTCATTTTTAAGAAAAAGTCAGATGAAAAGAAGAGTAACTTTTTCAAGGGGGAAAAAAAAAAATCAAACTACATAAGATTTTTTTTTAATAAACCTAAAACAAGTTCCAAAAATAAGCGGGAAACATCAAACGCATAAGGTCATATTTGCTCAGGGAATTAACGATTATTTTGCCAAAAGTTGTGTTGTTACATGAATGAACTGAGATTTTGTGACGTTACGATCAACCACGTCTCTTCAGACTGAGTATTTCGAGCAAAATATTTCAGACTGCGTTCAGATTTTACATCAATTATTTGAGTTTGCGGCTTCTCAAAAAGCACTTTGTGACCTTATGGACCACAATCTTTCAAACCAAGGTACGTACTGAACCGTCGTTTTTTTGTGCCATGCCGTTACATTCCTAATAAACACACTTCAAAAGAGATAGAAAAGACATAATTCGGGTGTGAATTCACGTCATGCAGAAGCAGACAGTGTGTTCACGCAGCGTTGGAGGCTCTCTACTCACAGCAGATTGGCGGAGTCACCTTGAGCAACAGCAGGCTTCCAACATCCACTAACGCCAACACACGCGCGCACACACAAACAAACAAAAACAGAATAAACTTGTCTTCACATTTCTGGATGCTTTTGAGGGAGGAGGGTGGGAAAGAAAAATAAAAAGGGTGCTTTGTTTGTCTGTGTCACAGTCTCCACAGTGTTTTCAAGCATTTCCGAGAAATCAATTGAGTGGACATGCAGCTCACACACTTGGATTAAAATATTTGGAAACATCACGTGAAACATGTCCAGAAATACAACTCCAGGAATTCTCTCGGCGAGGGGTCAACAAACCAAAAAACTCCAAGAGGCAATTTCAGCTATTTCCCACAGGGCAAATAATAAAATACAAAAAAAAGGAGCTACAAAATTATTTTGACATCTAAAAATTATTTACATTTTTTAAAAACTTTTTACTCTGTACAAAAAAAATAATAAGTAATGGTTTGGTCACAGAATTTTACCGTATGAATCAATGTGCATGTGAGCTGCCCACGGGTCTTGTTTTTGTCCTCTTGGGCTCATCATCCTCATATGCTACCGTTGTACCTGTGAGCGTGCATATGTTTAAAAGGCGGGGCCTGGCCTGGTGAGTGATATGGGCATCGGCGACTGAGAGTAGATTTGGTTGGCTGTTAACTGGTTAACTGCGCCATCGGCAGGTCACATGGTAATGTAACATGTTTGAGAGCTGCTGCTGCTTCAGACAATTGACATTGTTCTCAAGGAGGGCATGCATAAATGTCTTCTTCCATTCGTCCCTCGGCTATTAAGGCGATTCAATCTTTTTTTATCATTACAAAATTGTCATTCCAGAATTTAAAAAAAAATTTGCAAGAATTTGGATGATTAAACCAAGGAAGCTCTGACTGTGTTTGTTCAGACTAGATGTGGAGAATAACCACAACAGCAAAAAAAAAAAAGGAGGCCAAACTGAAGAAGACTGACCTCCGGAATCTTCTCAAGTCATAAGACATGAGAAAATATTTCTGGGAAACATGCACACTTCTTTTTTTTTATCTGTTTCAGTAAGAATAGGCTTTCATTTGACTTTGAGGACAATGCCAGTCGTCTCTTTTTTGCACGCATGGTCTCAGCACTGCGGTGGGAAGCATTAGCCAGATCTCAGATTGCACGGCCGGCCCTCCCGGGATCACCGCTCCATGGCCTGCAGCGGCGAGGAGGAAGCGCTATGAATAGGGAAAACTTCAGTCTGGAATGATCGAGGTTCATGCACTTTGGTGGTAAAAATGTTTGCTGCTCATCAACAACCTATTGTTTCCAGTGAGCAGGTGGCTCATTGGGTGCGCACAAGTGAGTCGGACAGGAAGCTTTGCATACCTGAATGCACACATTCACGTCAAACCGTGCACGTCAGAATGTAGAGTCGGAGCAGTCGCTTCGAGAAAGTATCACATGCATACGACAGGCCCTGCACAGGAGCACAAACAGCCTTGAGTTTTTGTGCACAGACTCATAATGGGGCACTTGGGCGACAGCGTGCGGCTCGATTAGGACAGCGACCCTCCCACCGTTCTGGCAACAACTGTACACAAGCACACCAGAATGAAACGAGCGAAGAACAAAAGGTTCCCCACCCCGCCTCCTGACTGCCTGTCAAAATGTTTCATTATGATGCACAGCCAAACCACGACTTGGTCTGTAGAGTTTGATCAAGGACCTGGAAGCGATTAGGGCCATCAGTCAATCTCGGGGCTTTTAGAGACGGTCTAGCGCCCATGAGTGCTCATGTTAGCGCTTTCCGCACAATTAACCCAACACCAAATACTGACAGCGGGGAAAGCTGTTTTTTTTCCCGCAACGACAGGTATGTGAACAAAGATTTCAGTTCATCAAACCAATACCACACAGAGACAACCCAAGAAATGCAGTTTGTAAATGCCACTTTATTTAGAGACAAAAAAAAAAAAAAAAAAAAAATCCAAACCTACCTTTCCCTATGTGAAAAGGTAATTGCCCCCTGAACAGTGGAATGGGTTGTGCCACTCTTGGCAGCAATAACTAAAATCAGGCGTTTGCGACAATTGGTGTTGAGTCTTTCATATCGCTCTGGAGGAACTCTGGCCTCCTTGCAGAATTGCTTTAACTCCGCCATATTGGAGGGTGTCCTCGCATGAACTGCCCATTTATGGTCACACCACAGCATCTCTATTCGATTCAAATCCAGACTTTGACTTGGCCACTCCAAAACCTGAATTATTATTATTATTATTAATGGGGGGGGGGGGGCTTGCTGGTGTGTTTCGGATCGTTCAGGATTTTCTGGTACAAAGCAGAATTCAGTGTCCCATCAATCGCAGCAAGTTGTCCTGGTCCTGAGTTAGCAAAGCCGCCACAGACCATCACATTGCCACCAACATGCTCACTGTTGGCATCATTTTGATCAAATGCTGTGCCATTTTTACCCCAGGAGTAACGGGCTGTACATCTTCTAAAAAGGTCCATTTTTGACTCGTCAGTCCACAGAATGTTTTTCCCAAAAGTCTTTAGGATCATCAAGATGTCTTTTGGCAAATGCATCCCATGGATGCTTTTTTTTTTTCATTTTTCATCTAATCTTTAAAAAATACTTGTGTTTGTACATTTAGGTGCACTACATTTACTTGAATCATTAATTTAAGTACAGCTGTTTTTATTTTATACTGCAGTCATCGCTCACCATACCGCAGTCTCACTTTGTCGTGGCTTTTCAAATAATACAATATTAATTTTATACTGCAAATTTTTCGCAAAGCCTGATTTACGTGTATTTTGTTGTTGTTGAACCACAACTCAAAAGCAGTGCTTGATTTTCAATGGTTAATTTTCTTGTTTTTCTCTCATTAAAACGTCTCCGTGTTTTAAGTGTCTTCCTCGAATCATACTGCGAATACAGTTCCATGTGTATTTGTTTTCTTGGCCTCTCTAATTCCACGCAGAAGCTATTAATTGATTTTTCTATTTACAGTCAGTCCCTTGCGTCGTCCCACAGGAAGTGGAAGCTCCACATGAGCGAGCAGCAAAGATTTCAAAGGGTAAAAACACTGGATATGTACTTGCGTTTGAAGGAGGTATTTTGGTTGAATTTTGAAGTTGAACAAATGTGCGAGAACACTTTTTTTTTTAGAAACAAAAGTCAGATACATCACATTACAAGCCTCTAAGTCTCCCGTTTATGCTCCTCTCAGCTCGTCACAACAAACAGCAAAGCAATTTTGTCAAATCGTGGCGTCATAATCCGGCCAGTTTACATCATAAGAACTCCAGCACCTTGTGTCTCAGCCCATATCATAACCAATTAGGCTGGAATACGAGTCAGCCGTTGCTTGACAACGAAGGACCGCAAAGTCTGAAACGCTATCATCACGTTGAAGCCAACAGGCTAACGGCTTCGGCTTCTAATAAGCAGCACATACTTGACGAC